TTTTGCCGCCGTCCCCGCCTCTGCGAGTTTCGGTTATCCACGTCGACCCGTGGCACTTGGGGGGGGTGTTTTCCCTCTACGTTCTTTTTCGCTGCACTGAGCCTCTTTGCCTGTAAACAGCAGGACCTTGTTAATGTGGAGAGATTTTAATTAGTTTTGCTTCCCCCCCCGGCCCATTTTAGGTGTTCAGGCGCTTCGTGGAGGTTGGCCGGGTGGCCTACGTCTCCTTCGGGCCTCATGCCGGGAAGCTGGTCGCGATCGTAGATGTTATCGATCAGAACAGGGTAAGTGTAAGGAAAGAGTCACAACTTCCCGCGGCAGTGGGTGGTGCGCTGTAATGACCCCGGAGGTAGGAGGGCTGTGGGTGGGCGATGGCGGTATTTTAGTTTGCGGGAAGCAGGCAGGGCGCTGTAGGGGTTTTCAAGCACAGGTTTGAGTTGGCCAGTGCCACTGGGTTTGGGTATTACCTCTGCCGCTTACACTAGCCAGCACCTTTAACTATGGCTAAAACATTGGTGAGGGTTAAATGAGTTACTGTATATGTATAAAGGGAGTTTAGAACAAGGCAGGCATGTAGTATTGAGAACCACAAACTTAAGGGATTGACCAGAGGCTGTGAATGAACATTAAGTTGTTTGTTGGGAATGTAAGGATTGAAGACTTATAATTGTCAAGTAAATTACATGTAGTTAGGTAATAGGCTGAACTACTGCTAATAATCGTTTTTTTAAAAAAGCATTTAAATAGTAGGACTTGGATTTTGAAAGGACATGTTATGCAGACTATCCTTTTGAATGCTGTTAGGTTTTGCACTGAGGTCTTGATCTTATGTATTCTAGGCTTTGGTTGATGGACCTTGCACTCAAGTAAGGAGACAGGCTATGCCTTTCAAATGCATGCAGCTCACTGACTTCATCCTTAAGTTCCCACACAGGTAAAACCCACCTCCCAGCTTTGCTTATGCTAGAGCAGCGGTGGCCAACCTTTCAGACCTCATGGACCACCGGTTGGCCACCACTGTGCTAGAGAACATTTTCTTGGTTTACTTAAAAAAAAAAGTTTTTGTTATTTTACTAGTTTTCCCTTGAGAATATAGTGGACAGTTTTGAAGAATGGAAGCAATTCAGAAGAAGAATTTCCAGTGTAGTGGGCGGGCATTGTTTCCCTTTAAATGTGCTGTGATCTTTCAGTTCTCTGGCTTTGCCTGTGTGCAGATTTGCCATCCTCTTTTGTTTGTACCTCTCTCAGGATTTACACAGCAAAGACCTTTTTTTTTTTTTAAGGAATTCTGGTTTCCTGTTTATATTTTAATCACTTTTAGCTCCAAGACAAAAATACGAGTTCTTGTCTCTTCCAATACTCGTTATCCTTAGTTGAATGTTTCCTATGTGTCAGAAGTATTTAACAGCCCTAGCTCGTTTTGCTCAGTGGTAAGAGTGTCGGCCTGCTGATGGAAGGGTCGTGGGTTCAGTTCCCAGTCAAGTGTATGGACCTGAGTTGCATGCTCGACCCCTGGCCCCAGTAGGGCCAGTACGGGAGGTGACCACATCAGTGTTTCTCTACTGCCACCCTCCCCTCCAGTCTCTCTTTAAAAAAATCAATGGCAAAAATATCCTCGGGTGAGGATTTTTTTAAAAAGTAACATGCATCATTTTGTGACAGTTACAAGGAATTGAGAAAACCATTAATTCTTTCTTGACATGCTTGATGTATACTATGGACGTTAACTGCTGTGTTGCTGTACAGTTATCCAACTGCACTGACAGTTGTAGTGGGACACCCACTGTAACTACTAGTTTACTTTTGAAGTGTACTGGGTTTTACTGGGTTTATTGTGTGTTTGAGATTATAAGACATCCAAAGATGTGGTGTGCCGGGTGGTATTTGTTCTCTAGAGACAACTAGAGCTAGAAGTACAACAAATAGGAAGGGTACTTTGGGGATTATTTTGCTTATGCTTTTTAACCTGAGAGGAGGTATCAGTTCTGCTTTTCAGAGGGCGAAAAGCTGCCCTTGGGTTTGTGTTGCTTCAAAGCTGATTTCTTCATCTCTAGTCTTGGTTCTTTCTAGTGCCCGCCAGAAGTATGTTCGACAAGCCTGGGAGAAGGCAGATATCAATACAAAATGGGCAGCCACAAGATGGGCCAAGAAGATTGAAGCCAGAGAAAAGGTAATAACTTACAGTCATTTGAATTCTGACCTTTTTTGGAGGGTTGGAAGGTGGTATAAGAGAGTTTTGTGTTTTGTTTTTTATAGAAAGCCAAGAAGACAGATTTTGATCGTTACAAAGTAATGAAGGCAAAGAAAATGGTAAGTTTTTAAAATTAGTACAGGATTATGTTTTAACCCTAAACTTATTTATATGGTAATTCTGTTTGCCCATGCTTAGTAGAGCAAAGTTGATTATATGAGGGTCTTAACGTTAGGGTTTTCTCTTAAACATATATACATATATGACAATAGTTTCTGTATGCATGTTGTAAATATACTTACATTGGCATTTTTCAGAGGAACCGAATAATCAAGCTTGAAGTTAAGAAGCTTCAAAAGGCAGCTCTCCTGAAAGCTTCTCCCAAAAAAGCACCTGCTGCTAAAGGTGCCGCTGCAGCTGCTGCAAAGGTTCCAGCAAAAAAGGTGACCACTGCAGGCAAGAAGTCTCCAGCCCAGAAGGTTCCCGCCCAGAAACCTGCAGGGCAGAAGGCAGCGCCTCCAAAAGCTCAAAAGGGTCCGAAAGCCCCAGCCCAGAAAGCACCTGCTGCTCCCAAGGCATCTGGCAAGAAAGCATGAGAACACGAGGGGCTACTATAAACGTATAATAAAGGTTCTTTTTAACACACTGGCCCATCTGCTTGCTGTGGGTGAACGTCTGCTGCGGGGCAGGGATGGCGAAGGATATTGATAGTAGGAAGGTTGATGTCATTGTTAGAAAATCAGTTCCTTTGTCTCATTCTGCCTGCTTTCAGGTAGTTTAAAGCCATCACACTAAGTGGTAACGAGTTAATGTTCTCATGGGAAATGATGATTAGAACATCAGGTGATTTTTTTTCTTGTACAAATATATTTTCCATATAAACATATAAAATTCTAGCAGCTTTGGATGCTTGAGGGTTTAATAAGATATATTCTAAGTTCGGTTGCCTATCATTTCTAACCAAGAGCTGATTTCCTGAACCTGACTGGGAAGTGGACAGAATCGTTTTTGGCTTGGTATTAATAGTCAAGTGATAATAGTGTAATAGCTTCTGTGATAAAGGAAATGCAGTCAGTTTTGGGTTACCTGGCCTGTGTGAGGGTTTAGGAGTTGTCTAGAGAATTAAAATTAAACCCCCCCTTTTTGTGTGTGTGCCACAGAATTTAGTCATTTATTTGTGCCATGAGATAAAAAAGGTTGAAAATCACTGGTCTAAACCATCTAAGTGGTGGTAGTGCCACTTAGGCCTAAGTAAGCCATCTTACTGGTGTCTTGGTTTTACTGCTCTTGGGTTCATTTTCTGGTTTTCAGTTACTGCATCCTCTAGTGTTTCTTCTAGTTAGGCTTCATGAGTGATAGACTTGGCTTACTTGTCTATTATTTTGTCCTTATATGAACTATTTCTTAGAGCATTTTTCATGTGTAAATGTATGGGTTTTATACTCCACAGCAACCAGTGCAATTCTGACACTTGACTACCAAGAGGTGTAGAGGTCTGCTCCCACTTCAGATGCAATCACAAGTCCCAGGCCTTCTGAGGCTTGATAACTGACAGGGACAGCTCATAATAGAACTTCCTGTTAACAGTTTATTAGAAAGGTTAAAACTTAATAGCCCTTCCCACTTACAAGGCTCCCGCTGCGGGCGGGCTGGCGCAGCCACAGAATCCCGGCAGCTCTGGCACACGGAGCAATGACCCCCTCGCTGCCTGGCAGAGCAGCCCGTAGTGGCAAACGCCAGAGAAAGCTGGGTAAATCACAGGATTGTAACTCGACGTCCCGGAGGATGGCCCTGCAGGACCCGAACCTGGGGCCGGCAACGGCAACGTTCTGCGAAAGTGGGGACAGTGGTCTCTGCGGCTGGGATAGGGAACCATAGAGGCGAGCGGCTTCCCAGCTTTCTAGAGAGGAAACGGTGCACGCACTTCCGGCTGGGCCGGCTGCGCTTCCCTAGAGGACCTAGGTCTCGTTCCCACGCTTCCCCTGCGCCTGCGCCGGCGGGTTAGCCCTCAGGGCAGGTCCGGGCTCGCCTCCCGGGCTGGCTAACAGGTTTGTTTCCAGCTCTGCCTTTGGGGTGAGGCGGTGGCGGGAGGAATGGGGCCCGAGGCGAAGAGAGCACATTCGCAGGGTGCGAGGCAGCGTTAATTTTACCCGCGCCTCCTTATTTCTCCTCAGTCTCACCTCTAGAACCTCGAGGGCGACATGGTCCAGGCCACGTGGCACCAGGTGAGCCAGCATCCTCTCAGCCTCTGTGGATCCCCATCCTTCCGATGTGTCAATGTCAGAAGCGTTCAGACCTGTTAGGAGTTTACTCAAGCCAAACTGATCATTGACAGGAAGCAGAACCTCAACAGATCGAGAAAATGCTCTGGAACATGGTAGTTTTGCACCTTATTTTATACATTACAGCCAAAAGAGAAGGCTTATGTGGGCTAATTGAAATCCATGGGTGATAGATTAGTGAGGCAGCAGAAAGCAAGGGGTGTGTGGGGTACAAGTTAGTTAAGGTCTACGTTTAACATGATAACTATGAGGGGATCTGTTGTCTCTACTGGTGCCCGCTCTTTGAGGAGTCCAGAAAAAGAGCAATTACTTTGTTATTGCAAAGGCATGTTTTTCTGGTATGTTATCTTAGATGCAAAAAGACCAGAGACAGCCTTAATTAAGGTGAGGATTGACCTTTGTTAGGGAAAAATGCCTTAGGCATGACTACGCCATACACTGCTTTTAGTTCAAAAATTTTAATTTAAAACCATCCCCATGTGGTTACTTGAGTTTGTAAGGTTGCCACGCAGGCCTCCCCTGTGCTTGTCAGGTTTAGTATTTGGTCCCTTTTTGTCCACAGATGTCAGGAGAGTAGGTGTCAGCTCTGCATCCAGACCTTGAGTTGTCTGGCCCAGTGGCTTCCATTTTGAATCTGTCACAATTGGATGTGTTTGGAGAAGAGGAGGAGTTGAGGGGTGGAGAGATGAGAATGCCCAAACTAAGATAATTGCAAGGGGGAAAAGAGTATGGAGGGATTGACTGGGATAGATTTGGCATTGAGGCTGAAAAGTAGAAATTAACTGAAAAGTGGAAATTGCAACACTGCATACTGTGAAGACCCCTTTCACCCCATCCACAAGATTGTTATCCTTGGATAACACAATTCTAATAATTATTTTGTAGATCCCATTGGATTTTCTACATAGACATGCCATCTATGAATAAAGAGTTTTATTTTTTTCTTTCAAGTCTGGATGCCTTTATTTATTTTTCTTGCCTATTTGCACTGGCTAGAACCTCCAGTTCAGTATTGAGAAGAAGTGGTGAGAGCAGCTGTCATTATTGCTGCTCTTTTTGCCTTTGTCTTTTTTCTCTCTGTGTTTCATTTGGTATTGCCATGCCTTACATGCACTTCTCCCTTCCCTGCCCCAACCCGTGCAATTTCTGATTTGCCGTTAATTCCATGAAGTATATTTTTCATCTCAGACATTGGAGTTTTCATATCTAGAAGTTTGATTTGGATCTTTTAAAGAAATATGTCTTGTATCTATTTAACTTTTAAACATATGGTATACATTTATAATAACTACTAGAGACCTAGTGCACAAAATTCGTACACTGGAGGGGGGATATTTTTCATCTCAGACATTGGAGTTTTCATATCTAGTTATTATAAATGTATACCATATGTTTAAAGGCCTAGTGCACAAAATTCGTACACTGGAGGGGGGGTGCTCCCTCAGCCTGGCCTGTGCCCTCTCACTCTCACAGTCCAGGACCCCTCGGGGGATGTCCACCTGCCGGCTTAGCCCCGATACCTGGGGATCGAGCTTAAGCTTGCAGTCAGACATCCCTCTCGCAGTCTGGGAACCTTCGCTCCTTACCGCCTGCCTGCAGCGGAGGCGGGAGAGGCTCGCACCACCACTGCTGTGCTCACCAGCTTCTGGCTGAGTGGCACTCCCCCTGTGGGAGCGCACTGACCACCAGGGGGCAGCTTCTGCATTGAGTGTCTGCCCCTTGGTGGTCAATGCACATCATAGCGACCAGTCTTTCCACTGGTCCTTCTGCTGTTAGGTCAATTTGCATATTAGGGGTTTATTATATAGGATTTTAATGTTCTCTGTTAGTGAATGCCAGGCATTGTTCCCTTCAGTCCTTTCAAAGGATCCTTTCCCTGGCTTTGGGTCATTTACTTACAGCCATGCCTTGATCAGTACTCTGTTAAATTTTCTAGGGGAACCGTCTGCAGGTGACTTGTATTCTTTTCCTGTTCAGCTCTTTCCTCTGCTTTTCTGTCCTATAAATTCCAGCTGTCTTGGTCCCCTCAGACTCTACCACGATCTGCCAGGCTCTGTCTCAGTTTGCCCTCCCTGCATTATAGCCTGGAAACTTCCAGCGTAGTAAGCTTGGGGAATCATGGGGCTCACCTCTTTGTTTCCCATGTCTCAGGAATGGTCTTTCATTGCTTGATAACCAGTATCTTAAAAACTGTTGGTTTATGTAATTTTGTTCAGGCAGGAGGCTAATCGGATCATTGAATCCCTGTAGATGAGAAATGGAAGTTTTCCCTTAGCATTTTGAAAAACATTTCCCTTACTTTTGCCATGTAGTGACTCCCCAGTCTTCATGTATGTGTTGTTTTTCCTTCTCCAAAGCCTTTAGGATCTTTTTCATGTTCTCATTTTTCTGAGACTTCCCAATGGGGTGCCTTTGTATAGATGTTTTTCATTCATTGTCCTAAATACTTTGTGGGCCCTCCCTCCTCCCTGGTACTTTTAAACAGAGAGAATATTTTACCACAATATCCTGAGCTCATCCTTGGTCCTGTGGTGTGAATTGATCTCCTTTTGGTTTGCTTCCCCCTCTGCCAGCAGTTAAGATTCAGCTTTCTCTGCTTTTCTAACTTAGATACCACCCATCCTTAATTTTCTGCCTTCTAACATTTTGTTAACACCTCCTCGTGGGCCATAGGAGAGAGTGGAAATCAGTACAAAAGTGTTGTGTGTGGGCTGTGTTTATACAGATGCCCCTGTGCATGTGCACACAAGGCCCAGGTAGGGGGAAGGAGCCAGAGGGACTGACAGGTACACAGAGCAGGATATGGCAGAGTCAGCGCAGAGATCCACAGGGGATGACCACAGAGGGGTGCAGTGAGGAGGGCACTGCTGGCTGAGGGCTGGCCCCTGTGGTGGGGGAGGGTGCTGGCTAGCTGTCCTGGACTATACCACCTGACCCAGTGGGCCTCTGCCCCTGTACTTAGTCTCCACTGCCCTCACACAGGTGTGAGCCGGAACCTGTTGTTTCAGGAGCCGGTGAGCTTTGAGGACGTGGCCGTGTACTTCACTCAGAATGAGTGGGACATCCTGGACCCTGTGCAGAGGGCCCTCTACAGGGAGGTGATGCTGGAGAACTATGCAAATGTGGCTTTCGTGGGTAAGACATTTCTTCTCCCTGTTATTGTCTGCCTCTACCTTTTGAGCATCCTGCCCTCTTTCTTCCTTAGACTTTGTGGGTCTCTAAACACCCTCATGGGCAGTTGCTCTAAAGGCTGAGCTCCCCAGAAGCTACTGGGTGGGGAGAGCCCTGGGTTCCCAGGTTTTGAAGTCGGCTGTCCCTCCAGCCCTGGGAGGGGCTCTGCCTTACGCACGGTGGGAAATGAAGGTTTCTTGGGAGCTCAGCAGAGCCCCTTTGTGTCCCTGTCCTCCGATGAGTGAGGGATGATTCCAGGACTCTCCCCCTTCTTCTCCCGTCTCGGCGGTCTTCCTCTCACCGAGGGTCTCTGTTCATCACTTCGCTCTGTCTGCCCTTTTATCCATCCCAGTCACTTGGGGGAAAGCTCTTGGTCTTTTGCCCTAGTTAACAGTCTTTTCTGTCTCCCCGTCTTGATGCTCTTTATGGGAATGCTGCCTGGCCTCACTGCCTCTCCCCCACGGAGTCTTCATCCTAGGGGGGCTCTGCTGCGTGGTGATCTTTGGTGCCCTTTTCTGCACAGACTGGAAAATACCCACACGCTCGGCAATTTAGATCCACCTGCTCCTGTTTCCCCTGCAGCACAAGTCTTCTGTTTGCAACATCAGGGGCTGACGGCTGTGTTTTCTTTTTGTGATTCCAGGGGGTGAGACCAGAATTGAGAAGGAAAAATCCGCTCCAAAGGAACACGTTGCCAAAGAACCAGAGTCCCGCAGACTGACACTGGCAGGGCTGCCAGGGAATGTTCCCCAGGACCTTGATCGTGGGAGCAGCCCAGGGCAGCAGCACAGCCACTGGGTAGTTACGAAGACAGAGTCAGAGAGGAGAAATTTCACTGATGGGTCATTCCAGTATCGTGAGGCCCAGGCTATTGAGAGTGGGGAGAAGTGTGAGAAATTAGCAAAAAACATTAGCGTCGACACACAACTCACTGCGAATCAGCCAGTTCCTGGTGGTCAGGTACCTTATGAATGTAGAAAATGTGACAGATACTTCAGTCGAATGGCCGACTTCCACCGACATCAGAGATGTCACACTGGCGAAAAGTCTTCTGAATGCAAAGAATGTGGGAAAGACTGCAGATGTAACTCATATAACTCACTACTTACTCGGCACCAGGTAGTTCACACTGGAAAGAAACGATTTAAATGTAAAGAGTATGGGAAAGGCGTAAGTTCAGACACAGCCTTGATTCAGCACCAGAGAATCCACACTGGAGAGAAGCCCTATGAGTGTAAGGAGAGCGGCAAGGCCTTCAGTAGCAGCTCCATCTTCCTCCAGCGCCAGAGGTTCCACACGGGGAAGAGACTCTATGAGTGTGAAGAGTGTGGGAAGCAGTTGAGCTCCAACACAGCCTTGACTCAGCATCAGCGCATTCACACCGGGGAGAAACCTTTTGAATGTAAGGAGTGTGGGAAGGCATTCGTTCAGAAATTCACCCTGGTTCAGCACGAGCGAGTGCACTCTGGTGAGAGACCTTACGAGTGTAAGGTGTGTGGGAAAACCTTTAGCTGGTGTGGAAGATTCTTTCTACATAAGAAACTCCACACGCAGAAGGCATCTGTCCAAGAGGAGGACTAGCCACAGCTGGGCTCACTGCCTCTCCTGGTGTCTCCCCGTCTTCATGTTTTTTGTCAGTGTCATCACTGTTCTTCCTGGACTGTGCTCATTCTTTTTTCAAAAAAATCCTCACCCAAGGATACGTATATTGATTTGAGAGGGAGAGGGAGAGAGAGAGAGAGAAACAGCGATGTGAGAGAAACAGTGATCGGTTGCCTTCCGTATGTGCCCCAACTGGGATTTAACCCACAACCTAGTTATGTGCCCTGACTGGGAATTGAACCCACGACCTTTTGATGTATGGGACCATGTTCCAATCAACAGAGCCACCTGGCCAGGGCTGTACTGTACTGTGCTAATTCTTAACTGTATGCCTCTGTTCCTACAGCTCTGCGTAACTGGAATGCCCACTTCTCTCCTGTCCCAGTAAGATGTTTAATTCAGACTCTTGGCTTCCCCAAATTCTCTGAACCCTTGTTTCCCCAACATGAACTTTCTTTACAGTTAGGAAAGACAAAAGAACAAACCTCAAAACTTACAAACATGAAAGGAATGTAAGTTTCTAGACTGGAAGGCTATACTAAGTGCCCAGCAAGACGGATTAGAATACCAGGTTTGAAGAGATCCTAAAAAGTATTTAGAGAAAGAAAAAAAAAAATCAGGTATAAAAAAAAAAAAATAGCATCCCATTTCTCAGTAGTAACCTTGAAAGTTAGGTGACTACAGTGCATGCCTTCAAAATTCTAAGGGAAAATCATTTCGTCCAGAATTAAAGACATTTCAGACCCTTTAAATCTTAAAACTTTTTTTTTTAAATATATTTTATTGACTTTTTAGGGATTAGAATACCAGGTTTGAAGAGATCCTAAAAAGTATTTAGAGAGAGAAAACAAAAAATCAGGGATAAAAAAAAAAAAATAGCATCCCATTTCTCAGTAGTAACCTTGAAAGTTAGGTGACTACGGTGCATGCCTTCAAAATTCTAAGGGAAAATCATTTGAAAGACAGACAGAATGAAAGACATTTCAGACCCTTTAAATCTTAAAACTTATATGTCCCATGTATCTCTCTTCAGATGTGCAACATTAAACAAGGGGTAAACCAGAAAGATAAAGATATATGGACACCTATTACAATATGATTATTAGAAGTCTCCCAAACTCACCAACAGAGGGGCCTTGTCCATTGGAGCCATCTGCATCTAGGACATTGTAATAGAGTTCAGGCTTTCAGAGACCTACCTCGGGTGCAGCCCACCCACACTACTTATTACTCTGAAGTTACTCTTGACCACTCAATTGCTGTCTGTGCCTTTGCAAAAGTTGGGGTGTGTGTGTACTCTGAATCAGATGCAAGATGCTATCTGTCTTAAATTTATCCATCTCATTGCTGTTCCAAGTGACCTCACAGCCGGGAACATTTCTTAGCAACTTCATCTAGTTTTTTTTTTTCCACTCAAGGAATTAGCTACCACTTTTGCAGACAGCTTGACGGCCCACTGCAGGAAGCAGAGGGCTAAGTTACAGAAACTCGATGCTAATTTCTTTATCTGTTTTTTCCACTCAAGGAATTAGCTACCACTTTTGCAGATAGCTTGACGGCCCACTGCAGGAAGCAGAGGGTTAAGTTACAGAAACGATGCTAATTTCTTTATCTAAAATAGGGATGACAATCTACCTCATAGTTCTGTGTTGAGGATTAGCTGCATTAATACATGTTGAGGTGCTTGGCACAGTGACTGGAGCATAATAAACAAAAATGTTATTTATTGGAATGTGATTGATATGTTTTGACTTACGTATACACCAATGAAACAATCACCAGAAGATAATAAACGGCCAAACCTCCCAAATTTTGCTTATGCCCCTGTAATTCTCTCTCCTGGCTCCCCACAGGTAACCACTGATGTGCTTTCTGTCACTTTGTCTTCATTTTTCCTTTTCTAGGATTTTATATGAATGTTGTCACACTAGGTACTTTTCTCTGGTCCAGTGTCTTTCACTTGGAATAATTATTTTGCGGTTCACCCATGTTGCATACATCAGTGGTTCATTCCTTTTTATTTCTGAGTAGTACCTCTCCTGGCTCCCCACAGGTAACCACTGATGTGCTTTCTGTCACTTTGTCTTCATTTTTCCTTTTCTAGGATTTTATATGAATGTTGTCACACTAGGTACTTTTCTCTGGTCCAGTGTCTTTCACTTGGAATAATTATTTTGCGGTTCACCCATGTTGCATACATCAGTGGTTCATTCCTTTTTTTTTCTGAGTAGTATTGCACTATGGATATATCACAGTTTGTCCATTCACCTCTTGATGGCCATTTGGGTTGTTTCTAGTTTCTGGTTGTTACATATAAAACTTTTGTGAACATTTGTGTTCAAGTATTTGTAAATGTATATGCTTTTATTTATCCTGGTAAATGCCAGGAGTGGAATAGCCAGGTCATAGATAGGTATATTTAGGTTTTTAAGAATCTTCAGAATTGTTCTACAAAGTTGTGGCATTTACATTCCCACCATTGTATGAGAGTTCCATTCCTAATACATCTTTGCCTGCACTTGATATTTCATTTTAATTTTAACTATTCTGATAAGTGTATAACGCTATCTTATTGAGGTTTTAATTTGCATTTCCCTAATGACTAATGCTATTGTGCATATTATCATGTGCTTACTTACCTTCCATATGTCTTCTTTGGTAAAGTTCATATTTTCTGCCTTTGTTTTAATTGGGTTTTCTTTTTATTGATATGTGAGTGGTCTTTATATACTATTGACACAAGTCCTCTTTCATAGATGTGATTTCCAAATATTTTCTCCCTGCTTGTGGTTTGTCTTTTCATTCTCTTAACAGTAGCTTTTGAAGAGCAGATTTCAATATTGATGAGGTCCAATTTTTCAGTTCTTTTATGGATTGTGCTTTCAGTGTCATATGTAAGAAATATTTGCCTTACCCAAGTTTATAAAGGCTTTCTTCTATTTTTCCTTCCTGTTTTTATAGTTTAAAGTTTTACATTTAGATCTATCATCTGTTTTGAGTTAAATTTTGTACAGGGTGTGAGGTATGGACCTAAGTTCCTCCCCCCTTCCCTTTTTAAATGGATCACCTATTGTAGCACCATTTTTTGAAAGCATGGTTCCTTCTCTTCTGAATTGCCTTTGCACCATTGTCACAAATCAGTTGTCCCTGTCTGTGTGGGCCCAGCACTAGATTCTGTTTTGTTGCACTGATCTATTTGTTTATTTTGATGCCATTAACATACTGCCTTAATTGAAGCCATGTAGTGTCAGTCATTCTACTTTGGTTTTTGCCAAAGTTGTTTAGGCCATTCTAGGTCCTTTGCATTTCCATGTGAATTTTAGAATCATTTTGTCTATTTCTACAAAACACATTCTGGGATTTTGTATTGAATCTATAGATCAGTTTTGGAATAACTGACATTGTAACTATTTAGATAGTCTTTTGACTCGTGAACATTGTAAATGTATTCATTTATTTAGATCTTAATTTCTTTTAGCAGTGTTTTATTCATTTATTTAGATCTTAATTTCTTTTACTGTTTAGGTCTTTTATATGTTTTCTCAGATTTATGTCTAAATATTTCATATTTTTGATGCTCTAATAAATAGTAAATTACTAATTTTCATTGATGGTATACAGAAATATAATTTTTGTATTTTGATCTTTTAGCCTGCAAGACTTGTGAACATTGTAAATGTATTCATTTATTTAGATCTTAATTACTTTTAGCAGTGTTTTATTCATTTATTTAGATCTTAATTTCTTTTACTGTTTAGGTCTTTTATATGTTTTCTCAGATTTATGTCTAAATATTTCATATTTTTGATGCTCTAATAAATAGTTAAATTACTAATTTTCACTGATGGTATACAGAAATATAATTAATTTTTGTATTTTGATCTTTTAGCCTGCACCCTTGCACAACTCACTTATTAGTTCTAGTGACATTTGTAGATTCCATAGGCTTTTGTAACGTTGACAAAGCCTTTTACGTCTTTTCCAATTTTGGATGCATTTTCTTTTTCTTGACTTATTGCATGGGCTAGTGGCTGGGGATAGTGTGTTTTTCTGTTCCAGACTTTAATTTGATCCATGAGTAGATTCCTTGACAGCTGCAAAGACTAAGGTTTCCCATCTCTCCTGATTCACCTTGCCATGTAGCTGCCTCTGGGTCAGTGCTTCCTGCACGCTGTCCCTCTGGTGAAGCTGTTCTGGGAAAGAACAGGACTAAGCCATTTAATATAAGGCATGTCCTGTACACACAGGATGCCTGGCAACCTTAGTCACCATTATTTTGGTTGTTAAATGAATCTGTTCCAAAGGTCCCCCACAGGCCTAGGTCCTAGGAAGGAGGGGGCAGGTGGAAACAGAGACATAGAAGCATAGGACAGACTGACAACTTTCAGAGGGAAGATGGGTGGGTAAGTGGGTAGAGATTAAGCAAAGAACTTACATGCATAACCCATGGACACAGACAATAGTGTGGTGAAGGCCTGGGAGGAGGTGTGGGGTGGAGGGGGTTAATGGGGAAAAAAGGGTGACATTGTAATACTTTCATCAATAAAGTTAAATATAAAAATGAAAAGGCAGGTGGGAACCATGGTTTAGGAAACCCAAGCAGGATCCTTGGCTTAGGCCCCTAAGAGATGACAAACAGGAGCCATCCCCTCCACACCTGCACAGCCCAGGTGACCCACGGAGTAACGGCGGCCGACAGCCGGTGGGGCAGTCCGTTACCTGCGGCCCCACTGGGCCTAGAGGCCGAGGTCTGAGCGCAGCGAGGCTGTATCCGAGCCTGGACACCCCTGTCCCAAGCCTGCAACAAGGGTCGCAGCTGGCAGGGGCCCCCCACCCCGACCAGCGCC